AATACAGTGGTCTACAATATCATTAAGTGTACCTACCGTATGTATATTTTCTGTAATACATTAATAGTGTTGTCATTTTAATGAACAATGCTGCAGATAATACATGTTTTTAGTGTGTTTACTCTGTGACACACTTGGACTTGTGATTCTGTGAATTTCAGGGATGACATGCAGAGTTAAATGCCCACTGAGCATGATGGCTCAGTGGTTAGCACTGTTGCCTCGCAACAAGAAGGTCCTGGGTTTAATCCCGGGTTGGACCTGGGGTCTTTCTGTGTGGAGTTCGTATGTTCTTGTGTTTGCGTAGGTTTTCTCCGGGTACTCCAGTTTCCTCCCACAGACCAAAACATGCATGTTAGGCTGCTTTCAGGCCAAGGCCTCCCTTGCAAAAGAGATCTGTGATCTCAATGGGATTTGCCTGGTTAGATAAAGATTAATAAAATAAAATAAAACAAGAAAGAGGAATGATTAAACCTTTGAAAGTTTTTATTTAACACAAAGTAAAACCAATGTGTCATTTTAACTGCAGTAAACACATTTAAATAAAAGCTGTCTGCCTGAGAAAAGGAGCATCAGACCTAACAAAGGAACAGACTCTGATCATTTCAACTCCAGTTTGTCATCCACTCTAGTTAAAACACTGTCTAGTCGACCTTGTAATGGTCAACAATGAACAATGTTTTAACTTCCTGACACCGTTTTCAAAACTTGGACCCAAGTGTCGAGCCACTTCAAGACATTTGTCTCCTAACATCATGAACTGACACGTTTTAATATTGCAGCAAGAATTTCTTGTTCAAGTTCAGAAGAAGTTGGTTTTTAACGTTTGTTAAGTCCAGTCTGGCTCTTTTGGGAAAGAGAATCTGTAATAATCTGAATAGTCTTTTAATAATCTTTCAATAATCTTTCAATAATCTTTCAATAAGGCCATGGGTGGCTTGTATCTTCTGGCTGACTCTCCCTGGTGGAATCCATTTTGGGTGTGTTAGCGGTGCTGTGGGTGCACCCAGCTCAATGACGTATATACTAGAATATACGTCATTGGTCCAGCTCTTCTTGAAGGTGGATCTAACCTTACCTGACCACTTTACAGTGATTCAATGAACCAACTCCCCTCTCTCCTTTGGTTACTTTGGTTACTTTCAAACTAACGAACAAATAAAAAAAAAAAACGCAACGTGAATGTAACTTATAACGCAACGCATTATAGAAATGTAGTGTAGTAGAAATACAGATACTTAATGTAAAATGTGGAGTGAAAGTCAAAAGTACCCACTTTTAACTCTACGTAAGTAAAGTACAGATACATGAATAAGTACAGTACTTAAGTACAATGACAAAGTACTTGTACTTAGTTACATCCCACCACTGCTAAAAGATAAAATTAGCAGAGTGGGAGCTAAAAGCTGAAAGTTGCAAAAGGCTACCTAAAATTGTCGAATGAAGTTAGATTGCAGAAATCCTGCAGGAAACCAACAAACCGAGAAAAATTGAGCACGTCAGTTTGAATGCACTTAGCATTTTCGTTGTGCTTCAATGTCACATTGAATAACATCTCCAGCTCCTCCTTACAAGCTGAATGTTCAGCAGCGTAAATAAAAAAAACTGGACCTAAAGAGACAAATCGTTTGGAGACATCTGGGCTCAGAGACAGACAGGATGGTGAAGTGGACCAGTGCTGACCGCCTGTAATTGGAGGATGTCCTCGGCTTTGTTTTTGTCAGCAGCGCCTCAGTTTGTGTCTGAGTGTCGGGTCAGCAGTTTGTGCAGCAGTGACTTTGACAGCATCGCTCCATCTGTCACTTTTTGGACGTTTGCAGCGCTGAGTTAAAGCTGTGTGTTTAAATTTAGAGGACCGAATCAATACTCTGAAGGTGTTCTGCAGAAAAAACTGCCACCTCACGGAGAAACTGTCATTTCAACCTGGATCTGTTCTGCTACGGGTTGTAAATCTTAATTAAAACCTTGTCATGAGCTTTTGGGGCTCTTCTCGCTCCTGCAGTTCAGAGTTCAATGAGACTACTGCTGGAAAATCACCAGTATAGCAATTCTGAGATGCCAGCCAGTCTCCCAGCAATCACAGCTCAATCAGATACCACCTCAAGAGTTTTCAAATGAAGCCACTGGATTCTTTAAAAAAAAAAAATGTTTTAATATTTATCCAACGAGTTTTCAATGTTAGAACAGAAACATTCATTCTTCTTAGATGAGCAGCAAAATGTCTTCAACAAACACAAAAAGAAGTAAACATGCTTAGGTACGTGCACATTGGAAGTTTTTACTGGTCCTGAATACTAAACCTGATTTACACTTCATGAGAAGATAGAGGTTGTGTTTAGCTGATGTCATTGTGTGATTAAATTTACGTATCTTCCTTCTTACACCTACTGTTGAGACCCCCTTCTTGTAAATGCCCTGACAGAACTACCGTTTCTCACCAGTTAGACACCAAGTATTATGTGATTGGTCAGAATTTCTGCCATCTTTACAACTGTTCCAGCGAAACTTCTAAAGATAGTCAAAGATCTTGTGGAAGCAGCAATTTTTGTCCACGCAGGAGACAGAGGACACACTGGTGGCTCTCTCGGCTGTTCTGACCAGGAGGGAGTACACCTTGGCTGGACAGCATAGAGACACATTCCTGCACCGTCTGACAGAAATGGTGGCAGTCTCTTTGTGAAAACTTTACAAAACGGTGCTTCTCTTTCTCCTCTAGCTCTTGCTCAAGACAGACGCATCTGCTCTCCTTCCCCCCTGCTCTCCTCTTCCTCCTGTTTTTGCTCTCTGTGTGTCTTGGAGCTCCTGGTTACACAGCTCCCGAATGAAAAATACCATTATGGATCTGGTGAGCTGGACTTTCAGCGCAATCGACAAAATCTTTTCAACAAAACGACAGGGTCCTGGAGAACCCTCTTGTCCGGCTGAGACTCACGCTGCGGGGTACATCAGAGATCCGTGGGGAGTTTCAGGAGGATGCTGAAGATGGTTATATATTTGGATTTATGATAGCAGGATTTCTGCTCTTTGTCATCGCGGGGCTCTGTTTTATAGACTTTTGAAGAAGACATCTGCAGCCGCTTCGGCCATGACAAAGCTTCCGAGCTTCCGAATAAGGGCCGCGCTATTATAGCAGCAGCAACGTGCACTCCGCCCATCTTTCGACGACTGTACGAACATAATTTCACTGTATCCCGGTACTATTATAATAAAGCTTATTCTGATTCTGATTCTCATCAGTTAACAACAGAAACAAAATCCTGATCTTCCTCCTTCAGCATCAACTCAAAATAAACTTCCTCTCTGCCAACCGTGTTTCTGTTTGTGCACGAGTGGGAGGAGCAATTCAGGACTTCTTCCTCGTAGTTTCTCTTCGAGTATACAATGTCCATGGTTAGGTCCACGATCCTTGTTAAACGGTTTATCTGAAAAACCTCCAGTCACGTCACGTGCCGTATTTTTTGCGTGCAGCGGTTCTGATTTGAGCCCAGTGAGGTGAATCATCACCCAGATTTTCTTCATTTTAAACCGTTTCTTGTTAGTTTTGTGTTCTCATCTTTATGCAGGAACCAGTCAAACTGCTTTTATCTGAGGGCAGAGAGAACCTCAGACTTTACAACCTGTAGAGACTCATCCCAGAACACCTGAAACTGAGAGCTCTGTTGAATTTAAAGCAGGTTGCGGTTGATTTTAATGATGGCTGTGACAACCTGCTACATGCTGATGTGGGTTTTTGTTTGATTGAAGCTGAAAGGAGTGATGCAACAGCTTCCTTTTTTTTTACAAATGTATATCCTCTCAGATGTTGTATATCTGTTGAGAAACTCCCAGTGCTTTTCTTGTGCCACTTGTTTTAAAAAAACATTTATGTGAGGATTAATCTGTGCAATAATAAAAGCAACTGTGCAGATTAATTTAGCAAGGTTGCTAAACTTATTTCACATTTATTTATACCAGAACCCTTAGTTTATTCCTTTATCATTTGCATTGCGATAGGTTTTAGTCTGATCTTGTCTCCTTTGTCTCTAACGTGGAAAATTTCAAAACACCTGCACTCGTAAGAAAAATGGAAAACCAGTTACTTGCTGAGGGGATGGGACTGAAATGAGTTTTCCTTTCGAATCCCTTTGTTTTACCTTGCTGTACAAAACAGCTTGTTTTGTAAATGTTTTTAAATTTCATTAAATTCAACCGTATCAGGTTGTTATTGCTAAACAGGAAGTCATCTTTTGGTGGAACAAACTGGACAAATTACATTTCTGCAGTAATGTAGCTATGTCATGAGCAAAACATGAGAACATGTCATGAGATTTTTTTTTTTTTTTAAGGGTAGAAGCGGAAATGCCTGAAGAGGCAGATAATATGTCATATTAAGAAGTCGGCTGTTGTGTTTAAAATGAGTGTTTATGTAATTATTTTTAGTTTACTCATCCAATATAAGTTTTATTTGTTCATGGCAGCCATATTTGTTCATAACTTTATTATTAGTAAGCCTGAGAGTTACCATATCCCAGCAAACAGTTACCGGAACACACCCTGTCAAAGTAAGAGTTCCCAGCTCAAATTAAGCTCAGATCAAAACATTAGTTAGAAGCTAAAATTAGCAAATGCCTAGTTAGAAACTACAAGTACCAGAAGAGTGGCTAGAAGCTGAATGTAGTAAAAGACTAACTAAAAGTATAAAAAAGCCAGAAAGAAGCTAAAAGTAGCAAAAGGTTAGTTGTACAGTAGCAAAACAGTAACTAAAAACTAAAAGTTAAAATAATCAGAGCAGGAGCTAAAAGAGGCAAAAGGCTAGCTTAAAATTAATGTAGCAAAATACTAGCCAAAAGCTAAAAGCTAGCCACTGAAAGACAGAGATGGGTGTAAAAAGAAAAGGAGAGAAAAATGCAGCTGACTTATTGATCAAATCTGGTTCACAACACAAACAATATAAAGGAAAATGTGTCATTATTTTGAATAAAGACAGTAAATTAAACACAGACGATTATGTTGTTATTTAGATGTGTCGGACAGCTACATCAGACAGCTGGAGGACAAGGTGAGGATTCTGGAGGAGGAGACCCAGCAGCGCATGTTCCAGGTAAAATATTAACATTAACAAACTCCATTTTTCATCTTTTGAGACAAATGTAAAGTTCAGTTTCTTTAATAAATCTAATGTTCTCGATGTTCTCTTGTCTTCTTTTTAAAGATCACATGTATCTTTATTTAGGAGCTTTTTGTTTTTCGCTCTTTACATTTGTGCTCTTTCACAGTTGACAGCGATGAGGTTTGCCTCATTATTTTATTTTTAGTTTTGTCTCCGTCTCGTCAGAGGAATTACTTCTGCCTCAAAGCAATAACTTTTAAATCAAGTGAGATTATTTTCCAGATTGCTTTCATTTCCTTCTCTCTTATTATGAGTCCCCGCTGAAGTTAAAGGATTGAAGGATTTAAAGCTGGTTTAACTTTATTAGTTATTTGAGTTTATTTCCATCAGGGCTCATTTCTTCACCTGGATCCAATCAGTGCAAGTTTTCTTTTATGATACAGTAAAAAATAGAAATGTTCCAATTTTTCAAGCATTGAAAAAAAGAAGCTACATCTATTGGTTGTTGGGTTTGCATAAAGCCAACAATGATTTATCGGTCCTTTAGACAAAGCTGTTGTTGTTAAATTTGGACCAGGACTCGGTCAGGACTGAGTTTTCAAATTCACGGTCATCTACTGGCATCTGGTTACTGAAAACAGATGTGTCATCTAAATGAAATAAAAAGGAAATTCCTCACACTAAAAGCAAACATTCCCTCTGGTTAGTTTTCGGTCAAGCACCAATTAACTTTGAGTTTGCTGTGGGGAAGTTTTTGAAAAATTTTTTTTTGGTATAGTGTTTTTAAGAGAACGGTCCATTTAAAGCAGATGTTGGCAATTTAAAGCCCAAGGGCCAAAAGTGGACCTTGGACAATCTCCATCAGGCCCCCAATATCCATCCATCCATCCATCCATCCATCCATCCATCCATCCATCCATCCATCCAG